ATCTGAATTGAATAATTTGCATACTTAGGCTGCTAAGGATTTAATACTATTAGCTGAAGATACTATTAGATTGTTTGATAAGATTAATAAAAAGATTCTTTCAATATGCCAAAAAGAGGAGTATGATCAACTTAGTAAGAGTATAATAACCAAGCAAGATTCAGCAAAATTAGATAATTGGAAAAACATTGTTGATTTGGCAAAATATCTAATCCTACAACAAAAAGACAAGTTGTATAAATTAAGAATTGATCATAAATGGCAACTTCACAGTGCCAAGGCTTCTAAACAATTTAAGCATGATATTGAGACTGAGTCTTTTATAGGAAATTTATTAAATAGTGATTTGTATGAAACATTGGTCAAAGCGGATTCTTTTTTAACTGATACGCAAAAAGATCAACTTTATACAATTTGCAGAGAACAGATTAGCAGGCTTACAAATAAGATTTACGATAATTTAAAGAATAGCATTAGAAATGATCATGTAACCAGTAGGCTTGAAGATAAGGATCAGAATGATGTTCAAATTCAAGATATTAGAGAGAATTTTCTAACCAATAGGTGAACTCTGAAAGATCTTTATACTCTGTGCCATTACATTTTGGACAAGATATATAGTGAAAATGACAATGAAATATATGATATAATATTTGGATCTATAGATTTGGTTGATAATTTGAACAAGTTGTTTGATGATTCTGTAATTGCAAATAATATTAGAGAGTTAAACCAATTATTGCTCACAAGAAATTGAAACGTAAAAAAACTTAATAATAAAAGAAAGTATCTTTACAATAATGGTCTCTATGATAATTTTTAAATATCTATAGGTTTAGAACAAAACAAGTTGAAGCTTCAGACTAAATAGAAAACAGAAAACGATACAAGAATTAATACGAAATATATTTTACACCAAAAACTATAATGCATCTTTATAATTTGAGAACGAATTGGATCCAAGAGTTAGAAAATCCAGTTGATAAACCTAAACGACCTAATGCTGAAAGTAATGATGAGCTGTTCCTAACTCGAATGCCTGATAATACAAACGAGAGAAGAAATGTAAATGAAAATATTAATGCCTAGATAACCTCTATAGTCAATCAGTATAAGAAAATATTGAGTTACAATGATAAGAAACAATTGTCTAAAATTAAGACTGATCATG